AAACTAGTGGGTTTTTTCTTTCCAGTACTGATTGAATGCTCTGGTCTCACAACACCACCCTCCTATTATAGACAAGGTGGTAGAACATAATGGCTGTCATCTGTTAAACTTGTTTGATTATGCATCGACATGTTTATTTTCTTTGCTAGGCTTGGTCCAAGACCTGCAGTCAGACCCTGTGGTCCTTTTCTGTTCATTGATGCCTGGTCCAGAGCAGCACTTTGCTTGGATCCATGTATACTTTTTCCTACAGTTGTTTTTCAGTATCAACTGCACTGAGACAAATTCAGAGTGTAAAGTATTTGTCTGCATATTTGGGTATGAAAATGTTTGGGGTTTCAAAAAACTCAGGTGACTGCAGCTGGTATGAAGAATTTGGAGGTTTGGGGTTATTCTCTGAGTGGGCAAAAGTGGAAGAGGATACCAGAGGGGCTAAATGACTGAAATTCTCTGGACCAGAAATTTACATTAAAAAGAAGAGAGAACTAGGAATTCGTTACCTCCTTGCTGCTAATTGATCTCTTCAGGCTCTCTGAAATGGAAATACTGCATGCCAATACAGCGCAGGTTAGGGAAATGTGTGTTAGGGAAGTCTAGAGCACATGATGTGTGAGAAAAGGCTAGGGAAACTGGTCTGTTCAGCCTCCAGAAGAAAAGGTGAATGGGAGATCATATTGCTGTCTTCAGCTTCCTAGTGGGAGAGACAGAACCAGACCCTTTTTTAAGGTAAGCAGGGATAGGAAAAGAAGCAACATTCACAATCTGCAATACAAGAGATCCCAGTTTGACACTTAGAAAGAAAATTTCACCACAGGAGTGGTCAAGCACTGGGAAGAGGTTGCCCAGCGAAGCTGTGGAGAATCCATCCTGGGCGATGCTCAACCTGGACTGGAAAGAGCCTTGAGTAACCTGAGCAAATCTAACCTACCCAGAGCGAGAGGTTGGAGCAGGTGACTTTGGAAAGTCCTTTCCAACTGAAATAGTTCTGTGAATCTATAGCCCTCACTCAGTTGGTCTGTGAGATGTTGGGATTGACTGGGTGCATTACTGTTCGAGCAGGTGAGGTCTAGGGGAAGGAGAGTGTTTAGAAATTAATTTATGTAGGTTCCTTAAACTTTATTTGCCTGTGCTTTGGTTTTGAGAGGCTCTATAAGCTGTTTCCCTTCTCTTTTAACCTGAGGATATATGGTTTTCCTGCATCTGTGGTGAGATTGATATCTTAAAATGGAGCCTCAGTACGATGGGAGGACTGGACTGGACGTCACCGGTGCACTCAGTGAGCACAGCCAGACACAGGCTTCAAAAGACTCGAATGGCTTGCCATTCGAGGCTCTTGGAGATAGAGTACAAATTAGGCTATTTTGTGTATTCTGTCCTAATTATATTCTCATGTTCAGAAAGATTAGAGAAAGAACAAACCTGACTTTCTTTTAATAAGAGATTAATAAGGACATGGAGGAATGGACAGCTACACACTGCTTTCTTCAAACACACAACATGCTGTAATGCATAATATTTCTAAAAATGGGAGAAATGCTGAGATGTTCAGACTGACATTTCAGTGCCTGTCTGATTTCACTGTCTGTCTGAAATATAGGGTTCAATAATCCTATTATGTGTGTCTGGCACACTCCTCCTTCTTTAGCAATGTGCCTCCCATGACTGCTATCAGCCAAAGCCTAATTCTGTGCACCTCATCCTATCATTCAGCAAAGTTATATCGTCATCAGATGCAATCTATTGTTTTCTTTCCTGCTGTGTGGTATTGATTTTTCTAACCTTTCCTAATGTTAAATTTGTTTGGCTTTTTAACTTTCTTACCAAAGGTTAATGTTATTAAGTTGAGCAGGTATCTATAAAACTGCAAGCATTATTGCCTCTCTTGCAATTGTTATACTGTCCTTTCATTAAACCCTGGCTGCATCGGAGAGCTCTGCCTTGAAGATTTTTGTCATTCGGGAATAATATGGTGAAGGTTGACAAGAACTGCATTTGAATTGTCATCCAACTCTGTGGTATAAAATATTGGATTTGATATGTCAGGAGCAACAGATTTATCTAGAACTCTCTTACCACCAGTGAACATGAACTGCACAGACATCAATTCCAGCAAGGCTGTAAAGATGCAGGAAGATGTGAGTGCTGCTGCCTGTCCTCTTCCCAGTATGGTCTGGCCACTCCAGTCTCTTTGCCGTTGTGGCAAAAGGAGCAGATCTAAAATCTCTGCCAATTCCAGAACTGGTTATCTGCTTGATGTGGACAGAGAATGAGAAATCACAGTTTAATTTGAAGGAGGTGGTGGCGTTAATAGTGGCACTCTGTCAACATTTTTCAGTATGATTTACAGCAGTACTTGTATAAAGTGTCAAAGGTGCAGACGGTGAGTAAACAGTTTCAGGATACCAGTGTTAAGCCAGGTTTCGTTTTTTAGTTACTGCTGCTGCCACAGTACCCTCCTGGTATCAATGTCACTGGTACAGTAACCTACCTTTAATGAACTGTGCATTTGACGTCCCATTTACACCTTTAGATTGCATTTCTGTGATCTGTATTTGAGGCCTTTTATTGTGCAAAAGACAGTAGCAGGGCTGAACGTAGGATGTCTGTGTGGGGTGCATCATGCACGGCTTTCTTCTGGAGCTGCAGTAAATGACATACGGTGCTCTCCAGCCACCATGCTGACATTATCTTGCCTTGGTGTAGGACCTGCAGTTGCTCTGAAATATTTTTCTTACCAAAGAACATCCTGAGAAGTTAGACAAGAACTAACCTCAAGTGAGATGTTTTTAATAGTAGAAAGCATAAAATAATAAATAATAATTTAAGCTGTTGTAGAACATGACTTAAAAAAAAAAATAAAAATAAAAACCAGACAATTTGGTCTTCCCTGGGTGGACAGCGGAATTGCAGCCTACCTGCAACTGTCAAAACCTGACTGTCCAAGGAGGAGATCAGGCGTTAGTGACTGCAGGATGAAGTATTTCAGAGTGCTGGGGGAGAGTGGGGGTTAAATCTTTTATTTATAAATTGGTACCTATAAACCACTTCTGCCAGCGCTGTGAAGCCAAGGAATGGCCCTGGCAAAAGATAAAAGACCTTCCTTCTCTACTGCTAATTTAAGAGCTGGTAATTCAAGTTCTGTCTCTTCTCCCATGCTCAGCAGTAGCTGTCCCTGCCGTTGATTTAGTCTTCATCTGTCACGTTCTCGTGCTGTTCAAAGGCTGATTGTGAAAGACTGGGGAGGTTCTGTCTGTTCATGGTTTCTCACAGCTTGGTCTCTCTTGCCACTATCAATGCCGGTAACAAGACTGTCTGAGAGCACGCCGTTCTTAGTGACTGAGATATCTTTTCATTTAGAGTGGCTTTGATTAACAAATTCCCTTCAGCAGTTTTCAGATCCAATTGTGAGCTTTCTGGGTGGACCCGAACTTCCCTATACCTTTCTTGGGCTCCCTTGGTGTCTCTGGCTGGCGTTGCACAACTCGCGTGTTCATTACAGACTCCAGATGGCTGGTGTCCCTTCTCCCCCTGCCAATTTTATGTTTCAGCCTTTCCTGGTGAAGAGTGGCAGCTCTTCAAATTGTTTGACACGTAGCACTGAGTCCAGGCTCCAGCTGTGTTTTCTCTAGCCTCTTCGTGGTGGCAGCAGCATCGCTTCTGCGAGGGAGGTCTTTGGTTACACGTGCTGTTGCAGCTGTATGATGCTTCAGCTTGGTGGGCCTGTTATTACTACTTGAAAAAGTATTTAGAGCAGTATCAGGTATCAGAAAGGCTACTGCTTTTGACCATGTTTCCTTTCAGAAGTTTTTGAGGAGGGAGGAGAAGAGGTATAATAAAAAAGCATGCTGTTACCTCCTCCCTTACCTCTTCCACTTCATCCAAATCCCCTACTGCATGATGGTTTTGTTTCATTTTATATGCGTTCTGGCTGTGCGGGGAAGCATTTCAGCAATAGTGTATGTCTTCCTATTGGAGTCTCATTATTTTGTTGCATGCAATCCACTAAACTCCATCCATGCACTGATCTGAGAAATTTTGTCTTCCATACCTTTATTTTTACCACTAAGGTAGAGGCAACTTTAACATTTTGGGTTTTTTTCTGATGTAATAAAATAATGTACTTTATACACATAGGCACACATACAAAGATTCTGTAGAGTGAATGCTTTTCTCTTATCAGCTGTTATTGTGTATAGCAGAGACATAAAATCTGTCAGATAAAGACAAAGCTGGGAGCCTTTTAAGGGGACCTTGAAGTGGTAGGAGAGGGAACCTCGAAATCCAGCGTGCATGGTTCTTATTTTAATTTACGATGCTGCATTGGGTATTTTGTATCCTTAAATCCTCTTTGAATAGTGACTTTATGTGGTAGATATACTCCATTTTTCCTTACTCAGCTTTTCATCAAAGGCTTAGGAATTGCTTTAGCTCTCAATTAAGAAATCTGAACTCCTGCTCTTCTCCACTTTAACCTGCTTTCATCCATATGACCCCACTGTAAGGAAATTGTCATCGTATCACTGCAAATTAACTAGTACAACTGCACTGGTTCCGGAAAGTGTGGACACTTTTGTATGCTTACAGTTACACACATTTGAATATATGTAGCAGAAACATAGTCAACTGTAGCACCAGAGAGGACAGTCATTTTCCTGGAGCCTGATCCTGGAAGTTACTGATCACCCAGGTCTCACTACACCAGAACTTGTCCATCCAGCAGAGCATTGTCAGAACATGCTTATCCAAACCCACAAATGTACTCCACGGGTTTTGAATATCTACTCCTGTGCCTATCAGACCGTTGTTTCATAATAATTTGTTCAGCTGGAACCTACAGTCTTTGGGCTCTGTGAGGACAATAGTCTTTTTCTTAGTTCTGCATCTCCATGCAGAGACGTTAAGAGTTGTTGACTGAAGTTAACTTCACCAAAGACAGCATTAGTTCTTGAAATGGAAGATGACTGACATTTTTTCACTCTGTTTTGCTGCTTCTTCACTAGGGATGTGAGTTAATTGAGACCATGGATCAGGAGCTCACAGATTTCACCAAGTGCCTTCAGATACTCCAGAAAAAGATAGAGAAGAAGGGCCTCCAGGTAAAGGCGACACATTTTTTTGTCTCTGGTTCTTAGTAATTACTCTTCCTCTCAATGTATTTTGGTTTATGTTTTAAGTTTGCACTGAAACGAAACAATATTTTCTGTAGCTTTGCCATTCTGTGGTTTTGCCATAATTTACTGCACACCTTGTAAGCATTGATGCTTCTGCTAGATGGAATTACACAGTGTGTCAACGAACAAGCATTGGCTTTCTTAAAAGGCAGCTTGTATTGATTTCTGTTAATGAACTACCTAAAGAGCAGAAGAGCTGTTGTGGCTGGTGTTCAAAGCAAGAGTCCCGCTTTGGCATGTAAATATATTTTCAAGTCTTGGCACACTGAGCCTTGACGTTCATCTCCTTCCTCTACCACCCCAAAGATGAGACAGGAGGTGCAATCTTATCCTGCCAACATTACATATGGTAAGCAATACCTCCTTCTGCAAAAGGTTCCCCTGGAATCAAAGGGGACCTCTGCAGAGCAAGCAGAGCACTAAACTTAAAAGGAGCCATATGGAGTTGTCAGCTGCTCGTTTCATTGGAAAGGCAAAGAAGGCAGCTTTCCCCCTCCCCTTCCACAGTTTGGTTTCGGAGGCCCGCTTGTCTCGTCTCTCTGAGATGCGAGGGTAAAATTCCTTGCGAATTTCCAACATGATGAGTCGATGGCAGATGTGCTCTTGGGATTGTTGCCCTTTCCTTCCCATGAAGCAGTCGTTCATGAGGGCTGAGGTCTCTCCTCCATTCTGTACTTAGGGGTGAAAGGAATTGAGAGGGAACAGCTGCTGCATCCTCTTACCAACAGTGAGGGCAAGACTCAGGTGAGAAAATGAAAACAACAGCACAAGATGGAAGGAGATGTGTAAACCTCCTCTTTTCCTATTTTCATTGTAGCAGGATAGGAAAGTTGCCCGACTTCCTGAGATCGCTGTTCTCCAACAAAGCAGTAAGAGATGGAAATGCCAATACCACTCCCTCTTTCTTCTCTCCTCACTCCAGGCTGGTAAATAATTCACCAGTTTTTGTTTAAGCTATTTTGAAATGTCTTCATCTTCTAAAGGAAGTATATGTCCATGGGACATTTCAGAGTGCTGTCACACAATACCTATCTGCAATTGCGTCTCCTCTTTTTGCCCTCAATACATACTGGTGTTCGTCAGTATTTTTTCCCCATCAGTATAGACAGAGATGAGGGGGTTTCTCCATACTTTTCTCTTATCTGTCTGGTTGTGAGCCAGGAAACTCTTTATATGATAGTTCATTTTTTTTTCCCCTGTAAGTTATCATCACAAGAGCACGGAGGGGTGTCTTGCCATCTAGGACACGAATGATAATGAGTGCTGTAGGAACAGCGTAGGATTTGTTTTGACTTTGGCAAGTAGGGTGCTTCCCTCTTAATAGAATTACCCTTAGAATGAAGGAGAATTTGAGTGGTTCCTGGATTCGGTTTGTTATCAAATCACAGCTATTGCCATAGAGGGACTTTTTTTTAAGCTATCACAAGAGGTTTTATAATGAATAATCAATGTGTTTTTAAAATAAAAGCAATGGGAACATGACAGCTACAGATGTGTTTCAAGAATAAGTAGCCTATTTGTAAAACTTCGAATTCTTTGATCACTCTCCTAGGTAAAGCCCTGTTAAGTTGATTAAAAGATACTGCATTGTAATCTTTGATATTTTGTAAAGTACAAGCCAGAGTGTAATTGCAGTAAGTATTTAGAGTTCATGCCAATGCACCAAACCGAAGATTTCAGTGCAGTGATATTTTCATGCTGTTACATGTAAGATTTGCTTTAACTACAATCTGAGTTTTTCAGAGGTGTAAGAAGGAACACAGATGTGGTTTCTAAAACTTAAGTACCATGTTCATTAAATCCTAGCTGCTTCTTGCTTACAGTGTCTGTTCCATAAAACATAATCAGATGCTGTCAGCTGATTCATGCACACTAGCTAAAGCATACATTTCTATTTTTGGTCTTTTGCATTTTCTGACATAAGGAATTTTCAAGAAGTCATTGATTCAACTTAGGCAAATATATGAAACTTAAGCAAATGGAACCCAAAACTGTATCACAACTGTATAAATTACTGCTTTGGGTTCCAATTTGCTCTCTGTTCAGAAGAATTAGGTATAATTCATTAGTAGGAGACCTGGTGATTCTTCTGGATGTCCTGATAATGCAGTGCTTAGCTTGATGCCTGGCCCCCCAATAACACAGGTTCTGAGCACTTGCAACATATAGCAGCTTCAGTTTATGGATGCAGTGGCTTAGCTTCTCTGAATAATAAAGCCTCTTTAAGTATCTAAATTTGCACTTAATTTAGGCGTCTTTATGGGTAACATTCTGGTATAAAAGGTGTCACGTGGTAAAAAAACAGACTGTTCAAGCCATAGACCTAAAATCTTTGAGGAAAATGCAAATCCCTTCAGAGAAGAAAGCTGTCATTGAATTCTGTGGTCACCTGGGAAGTACATACACCTGAGAAGAAAGGAAGGTCCAGGGTCTGAAAACTAGAAGTGGATAGAGAAGGGGTTCTTCATCTGCATTTACATTTTTGGCCTGAAGTACAAACTTGCATATCACAATGTGGGTTTTTTTTTCCTTCTGGAAAAAATACCATAAAAGCTTTCCTTTTAGCTGTGTGTGGACTAGGTGGAATATGTCTTCCTGTTCCAGGAAAAATAAATATGTCTCCAGCTTTGGTTTTTACCCACTCTGTCCAGCTTATCCAGAGCACTTGTCAAAGAGGAATATGACAAAGAGACCCTACAAATCTGTTTCCCCAAGATTTATAGTTGAAGTTACTAAACAGAGAAGGTATCTCTTTAGTATCTTAAAAAAAAAAATAAAAAAAAAAACCACAGTCATGCTGTGTTTGCTGCTTTTTCTCAGTAGCAGTATGTTAAGCTAGGAAATTAATTACATTCAATGCATACCATGGATCCACAATCCTGTGGCATAGTTTGTCTGTGAGGAGCTGAGGTATTTGAAACAGATGTTCCTCCGTTGGTTAGAGAATAAGTTATCATTTATCTGCTCTACTGAATGGATAAAGTTTCTACTCTGATCTATCAGTCACCTCTATGGAAGTTCTATGTCAAGGAGGTTTTTGAGTTCACATGAACGTATGGGGCCAGTATTTTGTTTCAAATTAATTAAGTTTGTGTAATTTACTTTCCATGTCTCTGTGCCTCTGTCCTCCTCCTCATCTTCCTTCCTACTCTCCCAAATAGCTTTTGAACAAACAACTTTTGAACAGAGGAATGGAGTACTGAAAGGCAATCATGTTGAACAGCTTTCTTAGAGGTCACCTGAGTGGGAGTGAAGGTGAGATAGATAACTAGCGAAAAGGCTGCAAAGTTAGTTTAGATTTTACTGGTTGTTGAGAAGAGGCCTTAGGAATGCCTTTACCACAAGGAAAGATGCAATTGTAGTTGACAGTCAACTGAGACACAGATCTGGGAGAAAAAATCACCTTGTTAGTTCTTGAACTGCTTGTTCGGTATGAACAGCAGTAATTCTGTCTTCTAGAATAATTAGCCAAATTCATAACTGTTTTTTCCTTATGTCTCAAATAAAAACTCTTAGAATAGTTTCTGAATCCTCAGGGTCATACATTTCTGGTTTACATTGCGTATTTTGGTTGCATAGCCAAGTCATGCAGAAAGCAGCATTGGGGTCATTTTGTAATATCTAAGTCACCTAATTATATGTATTTATAATTACATACTGCAGTGAATGTTAGAACAAGCAGTACCCTTTATATTTGCAAGCTAGAATTAGTCTTAATTTTCCCTCTCCACAGCCCTAATTAATTTGTGAATTGCATTGTATTGGATGGGTGAAGCAGTGAAGCACCACCAACAGAATCTGACTCCTGAAGTTTCTTTCCAATCTAAAGGCTGTTAGATGTTCTCTTTCTGCATGACTGTGAGTATACATGCACACACATGCACGTGCATGTATGTATATAAACGCACAGATTTCCTAGCAGTATACCTTCCTGGCCCTATGTGATGCTTTTTTAATGTCTTAATAACTCTGTCTTTATTTCTGCCATGTGTTTCTTTTATGTTGTTTATGGTCTATTGAACACTTAGGTGTGCACATTTTGCTTTACTGCTTTAATCACCATTTCATCCATTCTGTGGTTATGGTGAGTACTCTCCTTTCTTCATTACAAGACCTTCCAATAAACTTATTTACAGTAATTTCTGTCTGGTACTACTTTCTGTTCTTAATTTTCTCTCTTGTAACGCCAGCTATGTCAAGAAACCAACTGAACAAGCAAGATATAGGCATGCTTACAATATCTCTTATTTAGAGATCAACAGTTCTTGCATTAGAAGTGAACAGTATTATCTTTGATTTGCAGATTGGAAAGCAGAAGTACAGAAGCAACTTGCCGACACTCTCCTAGCATGCTAGTGGTACAGTTGGGGATGATCCTCCAATTCCCAGTCTTCATCAAGTGCTCTTTCTTTAAGTGTCCCTGGTCTCACTCACAGGCAGGTCATAGCAGCTTACGGCAGTGAGAAGTGGAAGTCTGTTTATCAATTATGCAGCTCCAAGAAGAATCCTCATAACGTAAAGATAGATTTAAGCCATTATCTTTATCTCAGAGTTACAAACTCTGCTTTCTTTAACTGTTTCATCTAAAATACCATTTAGTCTTAAAGCTAAGCTCTGGGACTTTTCATTTAACTTTATTATCTTTTCTGCTTAAAAAAAAAGTTAAAGCAGCTCATTTGGTTATATGGGATGAAGATATAAAAATGAATTTTATTGAAACCTACATGCCTTTTAGTGGTTTAATGTTAGTGTGTTTAAATTGATAAAAGCCTCAGTGTCAATATGAAAAAGTGAAAAAATCCAACCCAACTCTTCCTAAAAACCCTTTGCAGTAAAGGGGTACTATACTAACATTTCCATTTTAAAATTACACTTTAAAGGTTCAATCTGTCAGCAGTCTAGGATATTACTTGTTTTAAGTGAAT